TGTGTCTTTGTCACAGTTTTAATTTCTGATTTCTCCACAAATTTAAGTTTAGCTCTTTAATTCGCAAAACCTCAAAAATCTAGCACTGGATTATTTAGACCTTCTCTTTGGTCATGACATTTTTCTTCCAATTACAATTTTCTTAGAGGCCTTCTAATCTCCCGTGCAGGATAAAAGATGAATTGGCAAAATGGGGAAAAAATTAAATATAATATGCTTAACAGAAAATGTAAAAAAAGAAAGAAAGAGCTGAACAGAGTCAAGCATGATATATTCTGACTATAAGGGCACAATTCTAATTTCAAACAGACAACATTATTATGTTATGAAGCGAAGCTCTGTTGGATCTCAAAGTTCAAACAAACAGTGTAAGAGGCGACAAAGTGAGTCCCAGCGTCACTGTCAGTGGTATCCCTCCAGGCTGTACAACGCTTTCTCTTCACAGATTAGAGTCTGACTCCTCCTGGTCTGAAGCTTTGGAAGGGAATGGCTCATTTTCACAGACGCTCATGTTCACTGCCCTGGGCCATGAGAATAACATATGCAATTTCTGAAAAGCTGAATGCTGTTTTTACTACATAATTGATGTGCTGTGCAGTGAAATGTAAGGCTTCAGCAGGCTTATTAAAAAATACCAAAATGTTTAAATACAAGATTTATTCTTTACCTTGATGCATCCTACCACTAACCCTCATCTCTGCTCTATTTACATTCATTACGTGGGATTGGCTACCAAGCTAAAAGGAATCAAATATTTAATCATGTAGATAAATCCAGGCATACTTCAAGAAACCCACATATCAGGTTTTATATATCATTTAATACAAATAGATGTATACAAGGATACAAGATAATTTAATTTCATTATTTTTTTTTTACGGTTTTATAATGAAATTCAGGTTGTAGTTATACAAGATATACAAAATCAATGCACAGTCAAATTGATTGATAAGTCATAAAGATAAAGAAGAAAATAGTTTACATGATGGCGTACTCAGGAAGAATTTAGCATTATAGCCTGAGGGAAGAACCTGTCTTTAAGTCTGGTGTTACGGCAGCTGAAGCCTCTGTACCTTCCCCAGATGGCAGTGGGGTGAACTGGCTTGGATGGGTGCTGTTTTCTAATATCCTCTGGGCTCTGTGCAGTCTCCTCACCTCACCAATATCACTGATCTTCTGAGCAGTTTTAATCGAGTCATCCTGCACATCACATGCCAGTTTGTGATGTGTCCAGTCGGGATGCTTTTTATCGCACTTGGCTCAAGAATTTTGCTTCCTCGAGTTTCCTTATGAAATACAATTGTTTCTGTGCTTTCTTTACCAGTATGGAGATGTGAGATGATCATGACAGGTTCTGTGTGATGTTGATTCAAGAACCTAAAACTGCTGACCTGCTCCACCTCAGCTCCACTGATGTAGACAGAGCTGTCTTCACCTCCTTTTTTCCTAAGCTTAACAGCCATATTGCTTCATAGGAAAGCCCCATTCATTAATTTCTTTGCTACTGACCCAGACCCAGCAAATTCATTATAAAAACAGTTTAAATCTGACCTTTGCAAATCTGTGTGAGCCCAACAAAGCCTTAGCAATAGGGCTGCCCCCGACTAAAGATTTTCAGACTAGTATTTGTTAAATAAAGCCAAAAAAATGTGACTAGTCACATTTATGATATTAATTTAATTATTTACATTCATATATTTTAACAGCCACCTGTTAAATGATCATGGAAAAAATGGTAATGATTCCAAATGTGTCAGAACAACCAGCAAGGAGACTGAACATTAACATAGTATAGCATTAAACAGGTCTCGTTGTTTAAAACATGGAATAAATAACCCTGTTTTTGTTTTTCTGCGACTACCCAACAACTGAAAAGTGCGTCGACTAATACTCTAAATTGCCAACTAGAGGGCAGCCAGGACCCTGAGCTTTTAAACACATTTTCAAGCAAAGAATGGGAAGCTTCCGTGGACATAATGGATTTTTGAAAACTTATTAACATTACTTTGGGAAACCTTGAAAACAGTAACAGAGGGTAAAATAATCAATATTCTTCCCCAAGTCTTTATGAACTTGATATGAATTAGATATATCTGGCATAAAAAATTTAAAAAACAATTCAACAACACTTTTCAAACACTCTACCTTAAACTATATACATCACACAACGCATAAAATAGTCTCAATAAGATAAACAACTTCCTTCATAATGTAGACCTGCCCACATTAACAGAGGACCAAGCTGAGGCATTAGATAAACCATTGGGAAGAATTTCATAAAGCACTCATGCATATACCTTCCAACAAAGCACCAGGCACAGATGGCTTCCCTGCGGATATTTTTAGGCATTGGGCAAACTATTTCACCCCTGTTTCTCCGAATGACACAGTGACTTAAAACCGGTAAAATCCCACCACACATAAACACTGCGGACATTAAAGTAATATTACAACCCGATAAAAAGACTCCACCCTCCCCTTCAGCTACTGCCTTCGATCTCTAATCAAGACTGACATAAAATCATCAGCAAAAACATTATCCTCTAGAATTGAAACTCAATCTATACTGCATAATGCCCAAACAGGTTTTATCATAGGACAGGCATACAACAACACATGCAGGCTATCCAGTAATTCATCAGGCAACTCAGAACAACAGAGAAACAATCGTAGCTTCATTAGATGCAGAGAAAGCTTTTGACTGGGCCAACTGGACATTTTTATTTGCCACCCTACTGTCTCAAGACACTATACAACTCACCAAGAGCCACAGTCCCAACTAACATCATATTCCAAACCACACAGCTGGACGAAACAAGGATGCCCACTTTCTCCTTCCTTTTTCACCAATAGACGTTCAACCGAAGTAGGAAAAGAGAACATATTATTTCACTTTTTTATTATCACTACACATTTAAAGTATTGGTATTGTATAACTTATCTATAGCTATCTATAACCACAATCATAACTAAACTATTTGGAAGATGACAGTAAGGCTAATTAAGGGGTGATGATGACGGTTGATCATAATGTATTGATGATGATGTATTGATAAAATAATCAATTGGTGAAAAAGACCACAAAGCAACTACCAAAAATGGTGATGATGATGATGATGATGATGATGATGATGATGGTGATGGCGATGATGCCCCTGATGGTTGGAGTAGGGATCAGTGCCAGATGGCTTAAAAACACACAGAAAGCTCTTGTTGTGCAGCTCCGCTCTGCTGAGCAGGATTCGGGATGGTAGAGAAGGATTGGCAGGGGAGTGGGAGGAAAAGCAGGTTTGCTTTGTTTTGAGTTAAATTCCCTGGACTGTTTCCTTGCTGCCAATAGTGCTGGCAGCCTGAGTAATTAGTGTAAACTTGCATTGTGCAAATGCATGTGTCTGTTGTGGTGTGTATTCGGATGGGTGTGAAGGCAACATTTGTGTGCAGTTAAAAGGTGGTTTCTTTCTTTTTGTACCTTTCATGTACAGTTCATTTGAAGGTAAACCCCCCCAAAAAAAAAAAAACCCAACAATATTTACAACCAAAACAGTAGGTTTGATTTTGTCTGGCAGTGATCTTCTGTTTGAAGCCCAAGGACACATTAACTCTCTGGCTTCAGCTCTGCATGCATGGAGAGAAGCAGCAGGGGAAAGAGGTATTTGAGGAGAGGAGAGGAGAGGACCCAGGCAATATTTTTATGGTGAATGTTTTCATAATTGAATACAGTGACTTTGTAGACTGAGGCACATTTCATCTACCCCTGATACCTTTTATCTCTGAAGTTATTATTAATGAAAGGCATATTGCCAAAAATAATCTCTAAAACTTCAAGAGGTGATGTTGACAGAACTATATACCCCAAAGTATAAAGACAGAGTAAATTAAGCGCTAAAATAAAGCTGAGGCAATATCTGTATCTAACCCTTACTTGACTTGTTGTGAGAAACATAAACAAACAAAGACAAAATAATTTTAACTTAAGTTAAAATAAGAATTAATTAAGCTTAATCTTACATCCTAAAAAAGATTTTAGTCCTGGTTGATATAGCGATACCGGTGGGCGGCTACTAGTGCGGTTTAATACTACAGTGTACTTCTGTCTGTTACGACTGGCAAGTGTTTGCAGCACAGGCAAACAAACTTGCATTGTTTTGATAATGGAGAAAATCCGTTAACAGCGTTTTTCCATTTTGCCCTGAGCAACTACAATCTGATTTCATGCTGTGCACGGTGAGAGAAAAGGATGATCATTGTCAGTGCTAAACTTTGTTACAAATACATTACGTTTCCTGTTCCTGCTTTACAATAAAAACAACCCCATGTTTTGCCAAAGCTTTTAATGTGAAGCAGCAGCAGTAGGAAATGTTGGGTTAGTTGTAACTTCAATGAGATATCAGCGATATAAATGAGATCATAAACTCCCACACCCTGGAAATTTAAATCCCAAGTGGGAATGGCAGACCCTGCCACTCATTGTTGAATAGCTGTTGCTGAAAGAAGCAGATGACTAATAGTATCAAAATGGGTTTATTTTATAACTATATAATGTCTATCTTGGTCGCCTTGTGCACATTGCCACCTGTCAAGTGCTCACTGGGGGAAAAAAAAAAAGGTGCTAATTTAACATTAAACAGACAGGAATAGGAAAAACAGATTTGGAATTTATTTGAATTGACATCTGTGAGACATTTAGGTGTCAACATCAAAAAACAAAGCAGGAAACCGTTATTTATGAAGGTTTCTTCAAGTTTTACTTTGCTGCTATATATAAATGTGTTTCCAAATTTAGTCTAATCCATTCTTACAACATTTATTTAACATCAAATGTTTGCTGGGAAGTAGAGAGCCAAGGGAAACAGAGAGGAGGAAAGTGGGAGGGGTTATATGAAGAGAAGAAGCGGTGGGGGGGCGATGAAGAGAGCTGAAGGACTGTATACCCAGGACAGAAGGACAAAGAAACAAAAGAGAATAAAAAGAAACACGAAAGTAAGGCAAAGAGAGCAGCATTTTTTACAGAAGTCATCTTTTATTGCCACGTAAGAAAGTTGTATATAGAACAATGGTGATATACTGTCAGATGGCAAATCAACAACAAAGGAAGAACAAAAATATCCCAGTCATCCCTCCCCAAAATAAGGTAAACCGACAGATTCATAGCAACACTATGGTAATATATTTCTTGGACAAAACGTCTGCTATATCTCTTTTTCTAACAATATTTGAATAGTACCAAAATACAGTTTTTCATAACTTAAGTTCACAAATTATAAAGTCAGTAAACAGTAAAAGGACAATGGGGCATCACGGTGCATATTATAAGCTACTGTGCAAACAATAGCGGGAGATGGGCTCTACCATAGAAAATATGCTTTACTAGTCACGCATAAATGCAGTGTTGGGGCCATATGTATCCATATACACATATGCATAAATACCACAAACTGGTCTGGACATCAAAAATAGAAAATTGGATCTTGTATAATTTTGTATGTAATGCATGATTAACACCAAAATGAGTTAATCAATGAGTTATTCTATAAAAGGATATTCTTTCTAATGGATAGTAGTCATATCGCAAATAGCTTATTGATTCTTCAAAGGTAATGGAAAACCCCTCGGCTCTGGACCACAGCAGAGGTCTTACAGTATTTTTTCACATCCACTGTGATTGATATCCTCCCGTTAATTCTAACAGCAAGTATATTTAATATAGGTTTATGATAAAAATCATACATATAAAGCACACCATTGGAGCAAACCCTTTTAAAACAGATGTTGAGCGTTACTGGACAACAAGCACTGCATCTCCTCTGTCTCTGTGTGCATAAGTAGACAGCTCCGGATTGGTGAGAACATTTGCGCATAAAGACTGATGCTATACAAAGTCGTAAACATAGCTGACGAGAACCCCTTTGATAATATAGTGATATATTGATTTTCTGATCATACAGATGCTGCTCTTCATAGGCTGCAATGTTTACAGCGCTATCAAGTTCAGCAAACAGCAACGGTAAAGGATAGAAAAGATAAGAGTGGAGGAAATTCTTGTAAAAATGTAACTTGTGTTTGAGCCCTTTAGTTGTCATCGCCAATGTTCTGTACATATCCCACTTTCTGATCATGATAACGCTGCTTTTTCTTCTCTTTAATGAAAAGAGTATACTAAAGAGTAGACTGCAACTTATCTGTAGTGATTAAGGGAAAAAGACTTTCTCTCCCCCACCAAGAAATGAATATTTACAGACTGCTGCAAAGTCCTAATTCAGACTGACATCAAGAACAATCCATGCTTCACATCTTTAGCTTTAATGGGATACAGAGTGTAGAGAAATACTGTACTCAGCCCAGCAGGAACTGACAAAGACATGTTTCAGTGAATGTTAGTAATTGACGATGTCTGGAGGAATCAATGATTGATTGGGGGATCTACTGTGCCGCTGCATTAATGATCAATATAAGTTGTCTGTAACAATACTGAAACAATGTGAAATCACTGGACGGAGGTGTTTTTGTGTGTGTGTGTGTGTGTGTGTGTGTGTGTGTGTGTGTGTGTGTGTGTGTGTGTGTGTGTGTGTTTGAGAGCCTGATTCCCAGCCTTCCAAATGGAGCTGTTAGCGTTCCCATGCCGTGCACCACCAACATTTTGGAATATCAATAATTCAAAGCTTTCTCCCTATCAAGTGTTGACATTAAGTCCCTTTCCTATCTCTGTGTGCCACTGTGGACTGAGTCCCTGTCGCAGCACCAAAGCTCTTACCCACATTTCTCTGGGTTTCGGTGATTAAAGACCACAGTGAGAACTCATAAACCCCCCCTGGCCACTGGTCCCAGTACAGCTCCCTTTCTGTCTCTTATTGAATATTCCTTGTAGACACTCTGTGTGGTTTTCTCCCAGTGCTTGGCTGCTCTCCTGAACAAGAGAGCTTGATTTCAGCACAATTTGTCAAATGGGGTTGCTTTTTTTTTGTAATAATAGGCCTCTCTCTCAGCTCAACCAAGAGAGAAGTTGGACCACAATCCCCATTTTCATATTTCATTCGAACTGCCTCTCCCTCTCTGTCACCTGCCTCTTTCTTTCTCTCAGTGAAGCCTGTGTGGGCTAGTGTGAGTATAAGCTTTTGTAATTTTCAGTTTTGTCATTTCTAGTACCTGTCAATGTGAATTTTTGTGAGTGGGTATGTTTTTTGTAAGGTTGCCTTGCGGTCTTGTGATGCAGGGTTAAAAGGTTCTGTCGCAGAGACCCAGGTTCAAATTCCAGGCAAAGCTCACCTGACCAGAGATCATTGTTGCTGCACTAGCAATTCATACTGGTTGACTGGGGCTTCTGTTCAAAGAGGGAAGGGACCTGGGAGATCAATAATCGGAGTATGGAAAGAAAGTAGCTGTGTAACAAAGGACATATGACTGTCCGCAGGGGGGTCAGCTGTAACAAGGACCACAGTGTGCACTGTGCCAATTTGGGAGAAAAGGTAGAAAATGCAGAAAAATATAAATCATGGAGCATTACTTCGACAAACTGCACATAACTCAAGCTAGCCAGTTTGTGTTACCAAGGTAGCTGGTCTGCAATGCTTTATAGCAAAGTAAAAATAGGTCTTCACTGTGGCCCCACTTGGTGATTCATATTGAAAAGACGGGTGTACATTCAGTCAAAATATTGCATCAGGAAACAATATAATATTGTTATTATTAACTCCAGGTCAGCAGGCCAAAGCATATTCAGCATAATGATACACTTTGTAACTTCAGACTGCATGCTCAACTGTCTTAATTCCTGCCCCTGTTTCTGCTGATCAGTGTTCCGGTGAACCACTGCGCCCTCTAACTTGGGCCTGATTCCTTAATTGGGCCAACTGCACCTCCACTCTTCATTTGACTTCCATTCAGACAGGAATGAAAAAAAAAATGATGATAATGAAAAATCTTTGAGCTGTGGCAGGCAGTGCACCTACTGTATAGGCTACAGGGCAATCAGGACCTGAAATGGTTTGGAGCAATGAGTTCACACTGAGTGGTCATCTCTAAATTTGGAACTCATTTGGCAGTGTCATGGTACATAGTAAGACACTAAGAGGTGAAGGTGATCACTGACACAATAATGCAAGATGTCAGCTACTACAGAGAGGCCAGCTGGATCAGTAACATTTTTTGATGGACTTGTAGTCTGATTGACTAAAAGCCTGGTCACACCAGAAAATGGCACAGTGAAAATCAGCGATGTGTCTCGTGTGGGAAATATTAGATTTTTTATATTTGAAGTTTGGTGACGTAATGAACAACATGCTAGCGCTAGTCAGTAACAAAAGCTCTCTGAGCTTATTACTGTTTTGTCTATCCTGGCACATTTACTCCCCCGGGGCATTTTGTTCTCAGGGTTGTACATTATTTAAAAAGAAAAAAGAAGTAAATTGCCCAACACAGCTAGTGAACAATTATAGCTTCCTCCAATTTGGACACACTGGCTTTGAGAACTTGCTATTGGTCAGCGCAAATTCACATTGCAAAGTTCACCAAAGTGAGTATTTACTAATCATAGCGATGCCATTGAAATGTATTGCTTTCACTGTGAAATTTAGTTTAATATACTGGTGTAACCGGACCATCGAAAAATCCCTTTTGCCGTGTGATATCCTGTTCGTGACAGTTTATGCTGTTCTTCTACTGAATATAAGGGTACCTTTCTTGAAAACTGCAGAAAAAGCGTTTAGTTGGCATAAGCAACGACAATTAGAAAACAGAAGCTAAAGAACCTCAAGCTCCATCAAGAGAAGGAAAGCAACCATCTGTGATATAAAATTGTCCATCAAATTATAAAAGCACTCTAAAATGAGAAGGAATTATGAGGAATAATGCACATTGACCCTCATTTTTTGGGGGGAAATTGTAGGTCTTACAATTATTAGCCACTGAATGTACTGAATGTCTTTATTATTACAGTCCGTTGAACCAGTACTGATAATAAGTACAACCACTACATTTTATCACCAAATTGTGTTGTAAAAATTAAAAAAAAGTATCTCACAGACATTTTCAATAAATGATGAACACTCAGTGTCCAGAGTTGTTTTGAGCCTGCGGAGTACCTGTGTCCTTTTGTCTCTGCTGTGCCATTTTTTGTCTGAGTGACTCGTCTGATGAAAAATGTCAGACATGACTGCCTCCTGAACCCACTCATCTGTGGCCCTGACCCTATCAACCGTGACCCAACCAGCGCAACCCAGCCAGCACAACCAATTCCCCGCTTTCTATCAGGTTTATTTTGGCTGTTATGGTGAGGGATGAAGGCCCCCCCCCTTTTTGTTTACCAACTGTTTCCACTGCCTGCCTGCTTACCATTGTTCCAGTGGCTGCTTTTGCAGAGCTGAATTGGCTTTAAGGATGGAGCAGTACAGGGTGACCGAGAGGGTTCATATTTCCACATCTCCGCTTTGCTGGATTAAGTCAATTGGGTCCGATAATGCACATCCTGAGCAAACATTGACCTGCTTCTCAACTCTGTCACAAAAAAAACCTCCAGCTGTCAAGAAAAGGAGGAAATAAATACAAGAAGGAGAAAAAACAACAAAAATTTGCAAAGGATTCCCACTGGACGCGAACAGGTTTATAGGATTGTGAACTCCATTTATATATGATTCCCTTTGTTTGGTTTGTTTGTTTGAGTTGTGACTTCTTCAGAGAAAATAATCATATACCAACGTTGGATTCACACACACACACACATAAAAAAAGTTATAAAGAGTGAAATGTGTGCAGTGTTCAAGAGGACACACAATGGTACAAAATTGCAAACTGAATTACACTTTTTGGCACACAGAATCAATCACTTATATTTCCTGCTAGAACAATGCACAAGGGGAAACCAATCAAGCCTTTCAAGGTGGGGGTGAAATATTATTATTCACTGTCTCATCATGACTGTACTCCGCTATCACAGAAAAGATTCATCACAGCCCCGTTTTTGTTTCGCGCAGATATTTCTGCTCTGAAGATCCTCCATTTGGACGTGGAGGGCGAAAAGAAGAAGAAAAAGGGTGAAAAGAAGTGAAGAAGAGGAGATGAAAAGAAAGAGATTAAGAGAGAAAGGCTATGTATATCTTTATATATAAAAAGCATAATATCCGTTATCGCTACAAAGGGCCAAGGTCTGGAGTTTCACAGTCTTTCATGTACAACAGGCGCGGTAACAGTACTGACTCTGACTCCCTTCTGTGATGACGCCTGCCACTCTGCACTGTGGGAGCAAAAGGAAAGCAGAGTCCACCCTGTAATGTTTTTGGTGTGTGTGAGTGTGTGTGTGTGTGTGTGTGTGTAATATGTGGGTTTATAGGTGACACTTTTTTTTTAAATATGAGTTCTTAAATCCATGCTTTCAATTTGGTCTCATGGTTCTAGACCCTCAAGGCAGCAGGGGTCCCACAGCGTGAGGGAAAAATATCCCCTCCTGTGGACCCCCTTACTTTACGCTTAACTGGCTTTAGTTGTTTCATCTGGCTTTTGATTTAGAAGCTGTAGTATGAGGCCCCCGCTTGCACCTCAGATCTACATGCAGTCTGGATACACAGTGTGCCCAAACTGAATGTAGCTCTGCTGGAGCTTCCGATAAATTGTGTCACACTGAAATGTCTTTTTCTCTCAGTGGATTGTCATGTGCACCTCTTCCTCTTATATTTACATGCTTTAAAATAGACAGTTAATACCTGTTTTTGTTGTTCTATATCCACAAATCTCCTGACAGCACATCCCCTTTTTTTTGCTTGTGCTTCGGTCAGATCCAGATTTCCAACACACCTCCAGAGATGGTTTAAACAATCCAATCATAATATGTCCATGTAGTGTCTTGGATGCGTTCACATTCTCATTTTAATGTGGATAAGCATTGTCTGATTAAAATTGGATCACTTAAAAATGCATCTCAATTGCAACTGTATGAGGATCTTAGAAGTGGAAGCAGCACTTTAGATAACAAGGTCAAAATGATAAGAGTGGCTGCAGCTGCTAATAAATCTCACATCACTACAAAAACAAGGCTTGGAGAAGCCTGTAGAAGATTTGGCCTATTTGTCAGACTTAAGGATTTATTTTTATGTTTGAGTCATGTAACCCAGATAGTGGTTTTTTTTAGCTATAGTTTGAGTACAGTGAGTGATCTAATCAAGCCTAGTTTCTTGTGGCAGTGTCCTCCATTACCAACAAAAAAGTGTGGCATTTTTATTACTGTTACACATTTCACAGTAGTTACTTGCTTTTGTTAAAAGTAGATAAGTATACCATCCAATGCAAAATCTGTGCAGAAATAAAATGCTGAAAAGCCAAAGCCTACATTTGGTCCACCTAATGAAATACATAAGGCATATAGTTGCCCAATTTACCCATATTCTGTGTGTCCACCTAATACATACATAAAACACATTTTCCATTTCTCCACTTCCAGTATGATCAAAGCCCTTCCTTACCACAGCTACATTAAAACAGCTCAACATTTAGACACATTTGATTAATGAGTAAAGAAATAGTTTGACATTTTGTTAAGACTCCAGGAAGTTGCTGTGAGTAGGAAATAGTCTGGCACATAACCTCCTGCAACCACAAAGTTTGATAAGCTTTCTACAGTTTGTCAGGATTAAACAAACTAGATATAGCATATTAATTAGTGAGCTTTTGAAGTGCTTGTTTAAGATTGCAAACTGTTTCCCCCTATTTCCACTCTTGTGCTAAACTAAGTTAACCAACTGCTGGTAGTAGCTTCATATTTAATATGCTGACATAAAAATTGTATCAGTCTTTTTGTCTAACTTTTGGGAAGAAAGCTAAAGCACATTATTTCACTAAACGTCAAACTATTCCTTTAATAGTCCAACCCTTTTGTAAATTGCTTTCTCATTTAAAATGATTAAGTATCCCAAACTGTACCCTGTTATTGAATGGATAACATTGGTCATTCTGACTTAAATTTCTCAGGGGGGTTAATTGTAGAGTTTTCTAGTACTGTGATGGTCTAAATGCCAATAGCATAATTTTGTACTATACTGAACTGCTTTTTTAATTGAAAACTGTCAAAGTTAACAAATATGCACAAAAAAAAGCCATCTGTAACTTAATTCTAAAATGATTGGTATTACTCTTAAAAAACCCACATTGGTCAAACCCTGGTGTGTGTTATTCTTATAGTATGTGTTTCTGTGTGAAAACGTGTATGCATGTGCATGAATTTGTGGATTTTTTGTGTGTGTATGAGAATCGTACTCTGAGGAGCCTCTGCTAGATGCAGCATCGCCCAGATGCTGCCTGCTTATTTCTCCTCTGGGCCAGTTGTCACCACACAGACGAGATCAGACAAGAACAATGCCAGTGCGACAGCCTCCATTCTCTGTGCAGGAGCCTTGTGGAAAAGGACGACCTTCAGCTGCAGAGCTTATGAAGGCGCTTCTGAATAGTCACAGTACAAAGCATGTCTGCAGTCCAAAGCCCAGTACCCTCATCATTTATGTCTGTTTCAAAGCCCTCAGGAGATGTGGAGGTGAATCGTAAAGGAATGTTATTTCTTCCAAACCATTCAACGCTTTGTTGGGCAGATGAGCAGAACTCAAGTTTGTGGGTAAATTTGCTTTATTTCTTCTTTCCCGCGATGCTTCGGTGCTTTACACTTGATCCCTTATATTGCTTCTCAGGTTTGGTTTTTAAAGCCAACCAAGTTTATTATCAGCAGTTTCCCTCTTTATCATCTGTGTGTAGTTGCACTATAATGCTCAGATATTGTTATCATTACCGACTAGATATCAGCTGTGAGACAACACTGTAATATTACCACAAGCGTACAGACATCCCTGCTCCGTAGGCTGTTTGAAGTTATGCTTACAAATGCCATCGACTTAGACGCCATCCTCTTGACAACAAGGGTCTGTTCGGTGATTTGACTGGTGAGCTCTCTGTTTCTGAAATGAGGACCACTCAGACACAGTGTCACTGTCCCACTACACTCACCACGAGCCACACAAACAACACATAGATCTGCACCTTTGACCGCCCCAGGAGTTGGTGTCTCAACTCATGAGATTATACTTGTGCCACCACTCCACATGCATCCTTTACCCCTCTTTTTCTCCCTTTCTTCCTCTCTCACACAGTCACCTCTGTCTTGCTGTTGGTCACAAAGTAGGGCTGTGTGGGGAGGAAGTGTTGGCTGTGGCTCTGGCCTCTGGTGCTGTGTAGCTGGTTGGGCTCCAGCACGGTACACTGAGGCCTCTTGTGCCCGTAGGTCTTCCTCCGGCCCACTGTCTCAGTCCCATCCCAGCCCTTCAGCCCTAGCCCCATTGCATGCCCAGCCGCGATTGTGTTGGAACTGTACGCCAATGGGCGGCCCATTGTAGCTGAGCTGGAAGCCATGGCGGTCTCGGCGGCCCTGGAGATGCCCAGGGACATGCCACCTGGCATTGTCCCCGCCATGTGTGCCAGGGAGGTAGCCCCAAGTCCTGGCGGCTTGCTACTGTGGCTGTGAGCATGAGTGTGAGAGCTGTGAGAGCTGTGAGAACTGTGGGCAACGTGACCATGGCTGCCTTTGGGTTTGTGGCCATTCGGCTTGAGTCCCACTCCTCCTCCACCGCCAGCTAAGTGCCGTTCTGTTGGGAGGGTTGAGACGGAGGAGATGCTGGGCATCTCTGTGACATAGGTGGCCACTGGCTCAGGAGTCAGTGGACCCAGGGAGGTCATTGGGGTCATGGAGGACATTGGGTTGAGGGAGGTCATGGGTGTCATAGAGGTCATGGGTGTCATAGAGGTCATAGGCATCATAGACGTCATTTGGGACATGGAGGTCATCTGGGTGATGGTGGGGTTCATGTGATTGGAGGTCATTGGGTTAGAAGCCATGGGGTTAGTAGTCATCGGAGGGGTCATTGACGACATGTTGCCCATGGAGGGTCTGGAGTTGCCCATGGGCTGGAGAGGAAGCCCGCCCTTTGTTGGCAGCTCTACCATCAGCCGGCGCTTGTAGATTTCACCGTTGTACTTGGCAGCTGACAGAAGGGGGGGGAGAGAGAGAGAAACAAAGCTAATGAAAATGTTAAGTGGACATGAAAGAGCTGAAATCTCGAGTTCACTTTTGAAATCTAAATGAATTTGTTTCCTCCAATTTGGCTGTTTGCTATTTTGAGACATTCAGTTGTAAAAAAACAAACAAAAAAAAATTACCTCCCCTTTTTTTTTTTTTTTAAAAAAAAAAAAAAAAAAAATTTTAAAAAAAAAAAAACTTTCAGGAGTTTGCAGATCAGCTGCAGATGCACATGTGATTACATACACACACAGGCAGAAGTTTGAATAGGAAACATCCCATCCCTTTTAACTCCCACAAACTGGAAAGATCGTATAACAAGCCCCATATACTTTAACTTTGTTAGTCAGCCTACCCTCATCTACTGTAACTGACCAAGCAGGGTGTCAGGGCTACTGTGAACGCCTGCATACAGCGGCCCAGTCGTGCCACCGGAGGAGTTAAATCAAAAGGAAAGCCCAGAATGTCTCCTCCACCTCGCTTCTTCCTCCTTTATAAAGTCAAGAAAACATTTCATTTCTGTGTGGTGGGAAGGTGTTCACTATGATAAAAAGAGTAAGAATATATGGGAGAAAAATGTGAGACCATTACAGCATGCGCTGTGGTAGTAATTCTTCCAACATGGCACATGTTTTTTTCCCCTTTTGACAGATAATAAAAAGAAGACTGCAAGAAAACCATTGACTGCCCTTTCAAGGGAGCAAAGGGTAGCGCAGTCCCAGAACAAGCATGTTTTCTGATACAGAATGATGGATCTGGTTTTGTTGATGTGAAACTGGGTTTGTATGGTGCCCTCTCCTAATAGGTAAAATGCAGATGTAGCGGTGTGTATTCATATTAAAAGGTACTCTGTATGAACATGTTAGCTTAGTGGATAAGTGGATATAACGCGTTTACAGTGCTAAATTTATCATATAACATGAAGTAGTCCATTCAGGAAACAAGCTAGCTAGCCCCTAGATAGTTCAAATAACTCTTTATTATTTGTAGTGTGCTTGGTGTGACTGTATGACCGGTATATTCTGTTCCTGTGCACACAATAAATGGCACAACAGAAATAGACACAAGCCTCCTGCTGTCCATCATTCCTTCACCCAACACAACACACTTCAGAGGTAACGGGTTGCGTAACTACATCAACTTACATACGTAACATATATATATATATATATATATATATATATATGTACATATAAAGCATAAACATGTATACACATACAAAGTCGCACCCAACAGACAGACCCACATATATCTTACGCAGAATGAATCAACACACAGAAGCATCAGCCTCACTGTGCTCGATGTGCTGGTGTAAGCATCTTCCCATATCTTCTGTATTCCTGTGTGTGTGTGTGTGTGTGTGTGTGTGTGTGTGTGTGTGTGTGGGCGGGTGTGCGTGTGTGTGTGTGTGTGTGTGTGTGTGTGTGTGTGTGTGTTTCTTTAGCCTTGGAGCAGGTTTAAAGCCTCACATTTCTTCCTACCTCTGCCAGTCACTGTCACCAAGCTACAGTCTCTCTTATCACTGTGAAAAGTGACCTTTTTTTCCTGTCATATTCACGTTCACAGTCGAGTCATTACTCTTTAGCCCTTGTTGCCTCCATGTCCTTGAAGATAAAGTTAACACACTCAGCGAGTTTGCTTTGCAGCTGTAACTATAAGTCAGGTTTACTGCTCTGTGAACGGGGAGAGAAACGAGCGAGCGGCCCTGTAAAGGGATAGCAGAGGGGCTTGTGGGTGAGGAGGGGGGTGGAGGGAGAGCTCACCCGCTGAGTCGCCGCTAGACCGCCCCTGGGGATCAAATTTGCTCAGGCGACAGGTGAATCAATCCGGTCGCAGTCAGTTCAACGGTGCACACATCTGGCGGCGTATGTGAGTGGAAACGGAATAAACAGCTGTTGCGCAGTGTGAACTCTGCATGCCTCTGCCTGAGAAAGGCCGGCACCCCAAAGAAACACACATTTTGCATCGGGAAAAAATCAAGCACTGCTTTTCTGAAGTCCCTCCGTGCCAATACCATAAATATGTTATTAGGATTATACCGGTATGTCAGACTGCTGTTTATTAGCCAATCAGGTTCTCTACTGCGAAGGCGATTCCAGGTTTACTAGTTTTAAAAGTTTTAAAATCTACAGTGTTTTTTTTTTTTCACATTTTACAATATGTTTAAGACCTAATTGATACTTGAGATGTTTAAGTATTTACTTCAAGTGGGTGAATCCCCCTGTCAGTGTTGCCACCATACCCAAAAGCATCCATTAGTCTGGATTTCAGTGGAGAGTTTTATTGTCTTATGATGAAATGAATGCTGTCTGTAAGCCTTTTTCACTCCTGAAAGTAAACCCTTTACAACTGAATGGTTGTATTCTTTGGCAGGAAAATGTTTTAATATAAACATACTCAATGTTGGCACAGGATGTGAGATGTAATCTGAACCTGCTGTCTAGTAGATCGGCTATTATCTCCGCTGTGGAAACAGTAATGTCAGGAAAAGAGGTTGATTGGCACTTGTAGCTCATAAAATGGGCTATTATAGATACAGGTGCGAACTGCTTGTGCTTTGTTATAAAATGCTTTGAGAATGTGACATCCTATGGTCATAAACACTTTAGCCACCCAAGCAGTGTGGCTCTAGGAATGACAACGTCGGCTTTTCAGTTTGGTCCAGTACTTTGGTCTGTCTCGACATATCTCTCCAATTACTGGATGGATTGTCATTACCTTTTTTTCTACAAAGGATTAATCCTACTGACTTTCGTGTGATCCCTTAACTTTTCCTTTAGCACCAGCGTGAGGTTACATCTCTGGTTTTCAGTAAAATATCTATGTATAAAATACCGGATTCACAGGCATTACATTTTGTACAAATATACACAGTCCAGAAGATGTATCCTCTGACTTTTTCTCTAGTGCCACCAGGAGGTCAACATTTGACTGATCAGACTGTTTATGACCAAACACCTGCAAACTAATGGCTTTATCATTAGCTTTAGCTGTATCTGGTGCTTAGTGCAAGCCCTAATTATCACATGGTGAACATGGAAAGCAATATAGCTGCTAAACACGCCATGTTGCCATGCTAAGCTCAAAGCACTGTTGCGCTTGTATACAGCCTGACAGAGCCGCTAACGTGTGGAGACTTTTAGACTTTACTCTTGTAACAATATCACTTCCCCATGTTGCACCAAACCAATAAACAAAAAAAGCAGACAATTTCACCCTCGGTGTTCCACTTTTGGAACTCATTTACTTGTAAAGAGGATTATGGAAGATTAAATAACAGCTGAGGTGTGGGGATATATGGTTATAATCTACATGTTCTCAAAAAACTTAATAATGAATAATTTCATACTGATAAAGATTTTTTGCTAGGTTCAAGTCCTGCATACAAAACACTGTTATAAATACAACAGCAGCAGGTGGGGTGGAAGCCTAAAGTCTACAGACGCAGGCTTGTGGCTTGTTGGGTGAAGTAAAACTAGCTGATAGCGGCTTAAACAGCAGCTATCTGTAATACACTGGGCAGCTTTCAGTCACTGTATGAATGTGATGTAGGAAAATGCAGGACAGGAGCAAACAAAAGATTTCTAAACTAAACAATTCCATCCCAGTTGCTGAGGATTTACTTTGCAGACTACCTGTGAAACATTAACTCATTAACAGGCGGGTAGGAACACTTCTCAGAGAGGATGCACATTAGACTTAGTGGGCCATTATTGATCATTCGTATATGCAGAAGACTGCGTCCTCCTCTGGGCTGAGCTACAGGTCTGCATCCAGGGACCTTTATTAGATGGTTTTTGCCTTATTTGCAGTTAGAATTCAATAAAGTGACCTTATATAGATGCACAGGGGGACAGTGGAGATGGCTATTGATTGACAGAAGGGTGGCTTATCAGCTGGACAGTAGACCATTGGGAACGTATCAGAAGCAATTAAAGGAAAGCAAAAGCAGACGTTTGAGGGGTGTTGGGAAATGGTGTTGATCTTAGACTATCTTAGACTATTTCTCAGGGGTTCAACGAGCGGTGAAAACACCAGACTGTGTAGCAAAAGAGGACAAAGGCAAAGCAAAGTCCATTTATGTTGCTCAAGATAAGCTGAGCTCACACAAAGGTGACTTCAAAAAGAGGCACCGCTGGCATTTTGGTTTTGTTTGCTGTCATTTAGTCGCTCTCCTTCTCTGTCTCTCCCTCTCTTACTCCTCTCTCTCTCTCTCACACACACACACACACACACACACACACACACACACACACACACACACACACACACACACACACACACACACACACACATTTTTCACAGCTTGTGTGAGACGTTCCCATCATTTGACTCACAGTAATGGCAGTTTGCCTTCTGGAAATCCAGGGTTCCTGTGCTGCATATCTCTGAACAGGTTTCCAATCATTTCATAGGAGCCTCTTTGAATACCACTTGTGGAATGGAAATCTGTCAGTCAAGTGTGAGCCCAAGGGGAGGGGGAGGGGGAGGGGGAGGGGGGGGGGGGAGGGGGCCTCCCTTCAATTACAGAAATAGAATCAGATATGAGCCGCTATAAGGGAGGATCGAGATTAGCAGCCAATGATTCTTTAAGAAGTGAATCGGAGTGTGATGGATTGGGAGGGGGGTCAGGGGGTGAAGAGGAGCTGGTGCGTGTGGGTGGGGGAGACAAAAGAAGCAAAAGAAAAGGTGAGAGAAAATGCAGAGGAGAGGGCAGGAGGAGGATGATAAAGGCGATGATATGAAAGAAGGGTGAAGAGAAGATGGGAAATGGGGAGAGGTGGGAGGAAAGGAGCAGGAGAGAAGGTGAGAGGAAATGAAGGGAGCAGTGGGGGAGAGAAGCTGAGAGGGAGGGACTGGAGGAGGAATTCGAGGGAGGGGAATACGAGCCAAGACATTAAAGGTAAGAAGAGCAAACAGGAGAAGGGAAAATGGTCTTGGGGAAGTGGCCGAGGGCCATTTTAGATATACTGCAAAGAAGCAAAGAGGAGGAAGTGGGGTTGAGAGGAGCTGAAGACGAGGAAGGACAGAATATTAACAGACGTGTGCTAAACGGTTTGAATGTAATTTCTATACTGCTGCCTGGACCCAATTCAATTTTTGTACACGTACAACTTTGCCTTATTGTAAATGAACCACACTGGTAGTTTTGCACATTTTATCCCATTAAGTAGAAAACGTGTACACTTTATAGGACTTCCGACGTTTTTCAGAGCTCACCACAGTTTTTTAGATTGATTTTTACTCCCTCCAGGCAGTCACTTCTTTCAGCAACATGTCAGTACATTATAAAAAAATCAACTTGCAGAGATTTAATATGGCCTCAGAATAGTAATCAATCACAGCGAACATTTAGTCTGGCATATTTTTTGTTATTGTTGTATGGTTATGCAGTTAGAATTTTCAGAGAAATTGTTTTCCTGTTCATGTGAACAATAAAATGAATGTCTAACATTAAAGCCCCCCTCCTCTCAAATATTGCTACAAGGGGGTGGGAATATTTGTAAATCTCTCAATTCTTGATTTCAAACTGATTCTTGATTCAATAAATAGAAAAGGAGGTACTCGCTTCAGGCTCTTATTTCAGTGCCAAGCCATTCACTTCTGCCTTTAGTCTGTTATAATGCCATATGAAACATAACTGGTAGTTACAGTATTAAGCTAAAGGATCTTGATGAAGGTTAATGTCAAACAGGAAAAGTTGAGAGAAGTGTGTGGGAGTTTGAAGCCTTTTTTATTTGAAAATGTTAACAACATTTTGCAGTCTTCTGCCTGTATGAGAATAGTGAATAGTGTAATTTACTGACCGGCATCAACGTCAAGTGAATATCTTTTTTTAAACAGAAATGGGTCTATGTGTTCTGGAGTTCTCCACTGTGGTGCACTTATGTTATCTCTCCAGCACTGCAACAGTAAACAGGTCTTTGCAACATTTACCTTTGGGTGATGAACTACTCGCAAATACTTCACGTTTATTTTGCAAAGCTAAATATGAAGCTCCAAAATTGACCTAATTGTTTGCTCTCTTCTTTGAGAATGATGCACTCTAGTTTGTGTGTGTGCTTCATTGTGCTCTCGTGGTTGAACTCCGCCTTTTCATTCTGTATTTTTAGATTTTGTAAATTGATTCAGAATCACGGAAGATCAGAATCTTATGTGAATAGATTTTCCCCCACCACCACTAATTGTTACTTTGATGGTTCACTTCCAGATTCATCTGTTGAAGGGTGAAGGTTTCTTTGAGGTCACCTTAAACTAGTATCTTGTATCCACTAATTAAACTTTTCAAATTTAATATTAACATATATATTTGCATATTTATAGATTCTGGATTTTTCAATAAGGAAAAAGGATAAAATGTAATTTTAAGATAATTGAAATGAATTAATAGATTTTTTAAAGAGAAAAACGAATTATTATTGTTCAGAGCAGAGTCTGTTTATATGGCCAAAATGTCTGGAAGGGATTTTGAAAACAATGCATAAGACACAAACAATTTTTATTGCTGTGTCTCTTCTGCTTTGATTCCCAGACAATATAGGGTTAGAGAGAATGCTTTTAGAGCAGCAAAATATAGTGCTTCAAAGGAGAAATACATGCTTGACTATATAGTGCACTCTCAATTCTAGCAATTTTGCCTGTGCCTTCCTTTCTCATCTGTTTTGCCTACAGTTAGAGATAGCCTACATTTCCCAAAATGCCATCCTCAATCCTCAGAGCATGTGCTGCATTCAACTGTTAGTTTAATATGCGTTGAGATGAAAGGAAACATCAGAGAGTGAGGTGTTCCAGTTGAGAAACAGTGAGGTTGCATCCCTTACTCAAACTGCGGCGTGTCTTGTAGTTGCACTGCACTCTGATCTACTGAAGCTCCTGTCGGTGGACAAATTGGTATCTGTGCCTCTCAGATGATGGATTCCTTCTCTCCTTGCTGAATATTGGCACAGAATGTTGATTTGAGAAAGAATCCCTTTGTTCTTTGATCCTCAGGGACCGACACCCAGACGCCTCCCTTTTGCCATTTTAGATAACTGAACAATTTTCTGCAATCCAACACAGTTGTAGCTGTGCTAAAAACATCACCTGATGTCTATGTTTAGGCAGTCATCTGGGAAATTATAAAAATACACAGCACACAATAAAATGCCAAGGTCCAGAACTCATGATGACAGTGTTCTTGTAAGCTGGCTTTCATTTAAGCTCAAAGATGATGATGTGTCCACTTATCACTTATTTTTCATCTGTTTCTCTGTTTTCAGTTTTGCTGGCAATTATATAAACTGCGATCATAATTACACACATCTTCTTGCTGTCAGGGTACAAAGCAGCACTGAGCATAAACAATCATGATAATCTATTACCGTAACATGTCTGGGGGATGAGTCAGGACCCTCCACGTGCAGTGTTAGGCAGGGAGAAGCGTTTACATTTACAATACAGAGAAAGCTCACACCTACATTTGTCATTTCAAATATTTTACATTCCGCTGCTTGGCATGCAGGAAAAGGCTTTTCAAAAGACAAGCTCTGTCTGATAATTTTCTAACAAAGGGCAGAAATGCAGACAAATAGAGTCTTGTAGCAGCTATCTAAATGTGTTACCTGGCATGAGTGGGCTGAATGTTAAATCAAGCGGGGCAGGGTACCCAGCATACACAAGCTGACAGACACACACACACTGAAAAATTCACAAGTCAATCTCAAATGAACTCAGGTTATGAAATAGTGATGCCACTGCCAATAACATATGGGCATGGTGAGGCAAATTCAAACCAACTGCACTGGCAACTGAGCTCAGTGAATCTGGTGGTATGCATTAGGCAGTCGAACAGCTTGATAAGCAGGCTGTTTCTGTTTTACAGCGAGTCCAGTTCGGTAGCGCAATCAATAACACCTGTCAAATCCGCCTGCAGGACTGCTGTGGTTTAGTCACATCGCTCTTGGACACCTCTGGAAAAAAAATATCATCTGCTGCCTTTTGTTTTTGGATCACAGAACGCTCACTGCCAGCTCAGGATGCATCAGACGCTGACTCCGCCATCAAGAATAAGGGAATTCCCAGGATTCATTGTGACGATGACGCACCCTGTCCAAACACTGCCACAGTCAGAGCCAGCGGCAATGACTGCTAAAATCAACACCTGCTTTTTTACTATTAGCGCAACATCAAGTACACTGAACTGAAAAAAATAATAATAATCCTCTGTTCTTCAGTTTAAAAATGTAAAGATGTTAAAATAATAAGAGAAGTTGACAGACACTCACCCACAGCCTTCAGGGAGGCGTATTTGTTGATATCCTTGTTTTGCTGCTGCTGCTGCTGTTGCTGCTGCTGCTGCTGCTGCTGCTGTTCGTACACATGAGCCAGCTGGCTGAGGGCAGGGTAGGGGTGCTGCTGGCCCATGTTTGAGCTCTGTCCCACGTTGTTGTTGATCTGACCTCCCTCTGCAAGGACACAAGACGGGACAAGGTTACAACCAGGTTTAGGACGGGTGTGTGACGGTGTCTTGGGCGTCTTGTTTGAAAGATTGCAAATTCACATTTGCATCCACTTATACAACCACCAGTTTTTATACAGTAGGATCTGGGGCTTTAGAAATGATGCTCCACAATTCTCAGGAAAACATTAGCATCCATTCATGTCAGTACGGCATCAACTGATGGCCTCTTGTCATATTCTACAGCTGCAGCCTATATTTCATGCTGCCTAATCTGCATTTGGACATAATCCAGATATATATGGACACTGAATTGTAACATGCAATTATGCCAGTACTCATGTGCCAGAATACACATTTCAGTACATTATTGAGCAGACATCTTTTATGTGCATTTGACTTATCAGCCTAAATATAAAAGTTGAACTACACCAAAGAAATCTTATCTGCACTGTGCCAGTGAGCCTTCGGTCTACACCAGGGTTAAAAAATTCCCAGTGACTTAAAAAAATCTTCAATTATTACTTCAAGGGAACATATATCTTTACTGAAAGGAGCAGGGAATATATGTTTTAATTAATCTTTCTCAGAATTTGTCATGTTTTTTCACCAGAAAAGAAAAGAAAAATCTGCTGTTCATTAATTTTAGTTATTAATAGGTCATTTTAGTTACGTATATTTGCTTGCTAGTTTTCAAATGCAACCTGTGGTATTCAGGTGTTACAGGTGTCTCAATTATGTGAATATATATTTTTGAAACCAAGCCATTATTACATTTTTTCTAATTAGTTGAACTACTCCACAATCTTTCCATATTCCTTTTATTATATTACTACCTATTGACATGTAAAAGTGCCTGTTGCAACTTTGAAAGAAATACACTCTTTTTTGCCTCATGCTTATGCTGTAGGAAGTAACAGCTGTTTTAGATTAATTATCACCAGTATCCTGGTTGTAAAATTCACCAACTGAAATGTATTCCCATAATTAAATAAGAAATAATTAGATTTCAAAAGGTGTGTTCGATGTATGTGTCTTCTCTCCAACATCACTGCAGCACATACAGCTGGAAATAATCCAGTAGCTTTAAAATTGCTTCCTCTATACCACAGTGAAAAATCAGTAAAACGTATGTGGATGATTTCCAAGAAATCCAGTAGGCATTCTGTTCTGAGTGTGATTAACAGGCAATCAGTCCTCCGCACCCCAGCACATTTTAGAAGTATCCCTCTCAACCAAAGCCATAATGATTAGTCAATGGATTAGCCTTCCTCCACAGTTGCACCAAAAACTACACCTCCTCTTGAAGACGCAGAAACCAGACGGCAGGTTAACACATCCACGAATGTACAGATGGATATGAAGGACGGCAGATCGACAGAGTTATACTGTATGAGAGCAGAAGGGAAGTGTAGAAGTGTAGCAGAACTGCACAGTCTGACTTTAAAGCACAGCTGAATGTTAAAATATGTGTGGGAATTCAGAGGACACTCTCTTCAGCATTGTTCTCTTGCTGCGCTGAGCCTGACAGATAATTGCAAATTCCTGTTACTGAAGGCGAGGGTATCCTTGCTAAGTGAATACATTCTGTTAAAAGCCCCAATACTGCCACTTGATAATTTGAGAGGTAAGAAAAAGTTAAGAGGCAGACAGCGAGAGGAAGGAACGAGAGGGAAAAAAGTGAAATAGGAGAAAGGGGCGAGGGATAAGAATGCATAAAGAATGAAGATGAGAAGTGAGAAAAAAAGTCTGAAAAATGTCTGGCAGAGAAACCAAGGAGGTGTGTGAAGCACAGGGGGAGCGCAGCAAACAGAGTGTGGCCGCAACCCGACAATATTGATTTCCTCCACCATTTTCATCTCAGCAGTGCATTGTTGAGCCACGAGGTGCGCTTAAAGGCCTTAAACCTGCACAGTCCAACTGTCAAGGCAGAGCAAGTTGTTTTGTTACTAATTAATCACTTAGCCCTGGCAGTGACTCAAACCACACACACACACACACACACACACACACACACACACACACAGACACACACACACACACACTGACTGACAAGGTAGAGAGACAATTAAAAAGAGCATCAGAGTGAGAGACAGTGTGAGGCCATGTAGAAGAAAGAATAAGAGACTCCCCGATGTGATGACATGTCCCATGGCGCTTGGTGAAAAGGAACAGATGTGTGATGTGAGTTTGTGTAGATGACTCACTGAAGGCTACGTGAATGTAAGCAAATGGAAACAGAGATTTGGTGAGAAGGGGTCTGGGCATAAATTGTAGAGGTGGAGCTGCAGCCCCTCTCTGGTGTGCATTTAATATAATCAAAAAACAACATTCACCCCGGTCACAATGAATGCCTGCTTTATTTTTCATAGCGGGCCAAAATGGCTGGCACAAGGTCACCAATTTTCTCATTTCATAATGGATTTTGTCTGCTTGTGGAGCACAATTGTGAAATTCAATATCCAGTCAAAGCCTGAGTGCACCTCCTCCTTTTCAGACACTCTGCCATGAAATGGTTTTCAGTTAATCCATGAACAGTTATAGAGATGACCTCACATTTAGACTGTGCACTAAACTGTGATCATATGCAAATGCTTTATGTTGTTAATTAATACAAATCTGGTGAGTTAGAGTTTAAATAATCTTATACGAGACTATGAACATAGTAATAAGCTGGACTCGTGCTCTGCTCCGCCAAGTTGGCTGACTGTTCACTGACAAGCTGGCAAATCAAATTATACAGTCTCACTGAGCCACAAATAAACATCTGGTAACAAGTGTGGTGCATTTTGGCTCAAAGACATAGTCTGACATTTTGGGAAGTACACTTATTAGCTGTCTGACGCAGAGATAGATGAGAAGATTGATACCACTCATGTAAAGTACAGTAAATATGTATGTGGGGCTAGCAGCAGCCGGGTAGCTTAGCGTAGAGACTGGAAACGGGCCTGGCTCTCTCCAAAGGCAAAAAAATTCAGCCTACGAGAACCACTAATTAACATGTTACATCTCATTAACTCATACTTTCCTACAGTGCCAGGCTAGCTGTTGCTCCATGTTTCTCCTGGGACGGCTGTAGCTCCATATTTAGTGAACAAACATGAGAGTGGTAGCAATCTTCTCATCTATCTCTCCACCAGAAAGCAAATGATTACCTTTCATATATTGTTAAACTATCTCTTTAAATGTAAATTGGAACAATAGCATAGTAAAAGCGGAATCACTGTTCATTATGCTCCCATAATAAATGTAATTATCTGTTTCTTGTCTATGATGGTTTAAAGTATTGCAGTGACAGATAATTAAAAATTATTACAGGACCATAAAAACAGGCATTCCAGTCTAGAACTTGCCTTTAATATTCCCTGCTTTATACAGCACCTGTTAAAAATGTTGGATTTGTGTCATCCTTTTTTACTAGAGAACCAAGTTTGAAAGAACCAAATTCAAAAGCAATTCAGCCCCTCATGAAGGCTTAAAGTAAGAATGGTGATTCATATAGGAAATTGCAGCAGTTAGGTTACAATAGGTGTGCTAGTGGATTTATTGGACACTCTGTACCCATTTTGGGAAAAACATTTTCTGATCCAGCCTACAAGCACGCATTGCTTTCCCTTAAAAGCATGTGTTAGTTCATCTCTGCTAATGCGTAGTATTCAAGAAAATAATAAATACTGTGTGCTGCTTCTCATTGTGAATCACACTGTCCTACAATTTACTTCACTATTTACTCTAATACACTGCTCTTTCAGAGTGAAAAACAATCCACAATCCCCTCTCCTTCACTTGTGTTTGCTCACATAGGTCTAGGATTATTTCAGGTTCATAGAAACATTTTTATTAGCTCCCTTCGAGCAGTTGACAAGGCTGACAGAGATGATGGGAATTTGAGCCAAAATACATATAATTTCTCACCTTGCCTCATGCAACCTTGAGAGAATCTGAACCAAAAAATAGAACCAACAGTTTTTTCTGCTGTTTTATTATCCTACCTTTTTTTCTGCTCCAGGGTTCATCTTTGCAAAAACCTCTCTTCCCTGCATTTTGACTTTAGTGACAAAGATACTTGCGCACACATGAATAGTTCATGGTGAAAACAAACAGCACCCTAACGACAAAATCACACTATGAACCCATTCACTGGGCAGACTGACAGCTGTCACCAGGATGCCCATCAGGATGACGCAGTGGGAGTCTGCTGGAGTGGTCACAGTGCCTCGCCAAGCTGGACCGAAACACACGGATTCTCTGAGGTAACCGCAGTCTTTTAACTTTTAATCTCCAGCACCAGCCAGATTCCATTGCTGCCACTGGAGTATTTCCCCGAGATTAGGACAGCAGCAAAACACAAAGCAAGGAAAATAAATTGCACACTGCTGGGAACCAGTTCGACAAGCAGTGGCAATTACAAGCCCATTTAGGTTTTAAGGTAATGGGTCAAACAAAAGAGAAAAAAAGGACAAAACTGACAGATCCCACAACAATGCTTCTCTACAACCTAATTTAAAATTAATGCAACCTTTCAGGCACAGAATGCCTTCCTTAGGTGTTGGCTCTACTGTGTTTTTACTGAACATTTCAACAAAGCTTTTACAGTATTACTGGCACACAGAAACAGTCCTGGCAACAGAATAAGAATAACTGTGTTGCAGTCAAAATGACCAAATCAGATCTCACTGAAAAATCCAATAAAAGAAAGAAATCTGAGAAAGTGAAGGAATCTGAAGAGAAAAAATGATCAGGTCAGCTCAATAGATTTAACTACATTGATAACGGCAGTAGAATACGCTGGGTGAAAGGTCATTAGGTCAAAATCAATAGGTTTTGTCCTGTTGCCTGATTGTACAGACAATATTGTGTTTATGACAAAGGCCAGAAGATGTGCTCATCTGAAAACTGAGAGATTGGATGGTTCTACAACATTTACTGAGCGCCTGAACACACGTGTACTGCACCTCTACCTCATACAGTGCAGAAATATGTGTGAGATAGGGGGCAAGCTACAGT